ACCAAATCTTTCAGTGGGCTGCAGAAAACAATATGAAGTTCAACGATGAGAAATTTCAATTACTCAGATATGGTAAACACGAGGAAATTAAATCTTCATCAGAGTACAAAACAAATTCTGGCCACAAAATAGAGCGAAACACCAACGTCAAAGACCTGGGAGTGATCATGTCGGAGGATCTCACCTTCAAGGACCATAACATTGTATCAATCGCATCTGCTAGAAAAATGACAGGATGGATAATGAGAACCTTCAAAACTAGGGAGGCCAAGCCCATGATGACACTCTTCAGGTCACTTGTTCTATCTAGGCTGGAATATTGCTGCACACTAACAGTACCTTTCAAGGCAGGTGAATTGCTGACCTAGAAAATGTACAGAGAACCTTCACGGTGCGCATAACGGAGATAAAACACCTCAATTACTGGGAGCGCTTGAGGTTCCTAAACCTGTATTCCCTGGAACGCAGGCGGGAGAGATACATGATTATATACACCTGGAAAATCCTAGAGGACTAGTACCGAACTTGCACACGAAAATCACTCACTACGAAAGCAAAAGACTTGGCAGACGATGCAACATCCCCCCAATGAAAAGCAGGGGTGTCGCTAGCACGTTAAGAGACCATACAATAAGTGTCAGGGGCCCGAGACTGTTCAACTGCCTCCCAGCATACATAAGGGGGATTACCAACAGACCCCTGGCAGTCTTCAAGCTGGCACTGGACAAGCACCTAAAGTCGGTTCCTGACCAGCCGGGCTGTGGCTCGTACGTTGGTTTGCGTGCAGCCAGCAGTAACAGCCTGGTTGATCAGGCTCTGATCCACCAGGAGGCCTGGTCACAGACCAGGCCGCGGGAGCGTTGACCCCCGGAACTCTCTCCAGGTAAACTCCAGGAAGACAACAGTCAAAGACCAGGTGATCAGACTGAGGACAGAAGGTGGAGAACTCACAAGAAATGATCAGGAGGTAAGTGAGGAGCTAAACAGGAGATTTAAGGAAGTTTTTACAGTAGAGACAGGAAGGGCTCTGGGAAGACAGCACAGAAGGGAACATCAAGAGGGAATATACCAACAAGTGTTGGATGACATATGAACAACCGAGGAGGAGGTGCAGAAGCTGCTAAGTGACCTTGATACCTCAAAGGCGATGGGACCGGACAACATCTCCCCTTGGGTCCTTAGAGAAGGAGCAGAGATGCTGTGCATGCCCCTAACCACAATCTTCAACACATCCCTTGAAACTGGGCAACTACCTGAGAAATGGAAGACGGCAAATGTCCCCATATTTAAGAAAGGAAACAGAAACGAGTCACTAAACTACAGACCTGTGTCTCTGACTTGTATAGTATGCAAAGTCATGGAGAAGATTATCAGGAGGAGAGTGGTGGAACACCTGGAACGGAACAAGATTATAAATGAAAACCAGCATGGGTTCATGGAAGGCAAATCCTGTGTCACAAACCTTCTCAAGTTTTACGACAAGGTAACAGAAGTAAGACACGAGAGAGAGGGGTGGGTTGATCGCATTTTCCTGGACTGCAGGAAGGCCTTTGACACAGTTCCTCACAAGAGATTAGTGCAGAAGCTGGAGGATCAGGCACATATAACAGGGAGGGCACTGCAATGGATCAGGGAATACCTGACAAGGAGGCAACAATGAGTCATGGTACGTGAAGAGGTATCACAGTGGGCGCCTGTGACGAGCGGGGTCCCACATGGGTCATTTCTAGGCCCAGTGCTATTTTTGATATATGCGAACGACATGATGGAAGGAATAGACTCTGAAGTGTCCCTATTCGCAGATGATGTGAAGCTGATGAGAAGAATTAAATCGGATGAGGATGAGGCAGGACTGCAAAGAGACCTGGACAGGCTGGACACGTGGTCCAGAAACTGGCTTCTCGAATTCAACCCTGCCAAATGCAAAGTCATGAAGATTGGGGAGGGGCAAAGAAGACCGCAGACAGAGTATAGGCTAGGTGGACAAAGACTACAGACCTCACTCAGGGAGAAAGACCTTGGGGTGACCATAACACCGAGCACGTCACCGGAGGCACACATCAACCAAATAACTGCTGCAGCATATGGGCGCCTGGCAAACCTGAGAATAGCATTCTGATACCTTAATAAGGAATCGTTCAAGACACTGTACACTGTGTATGTTAGGGCCATACTGGAGTATGCAGCACCAGTCTGGAACCCACACCTGGTCAAGCACGTCAAGAAGTTAGAGAAAGTACAAAGGTTTGCAACAAGGCTAGTCCCAGAGCTCAGGGGAATGTCGTACGAGGAAAGGTTGAGGGAACTCGGACTGACGACACTGGAGGACAGAAGGGTCAGGGGAGACATGATAACGACATACAAGATACTGCCGGGAATAGACAAGGTGGACAGAGACAGGATGTTCCAGAGAGGGGATACAGAAAGAAGGGGTCACAATTGGAAGCTGAAGACTCAGACGAGTCACAGGGACGTTAGGAATATTTCTTCAGTCATAGTCGTCAGGAAGTGGAATAGCCTAGCAAGTGAAGTAGTGGAGGCAGGAACCATACATAGTTTTAAGAAGAGGTATGAGGACCTAGTAGCGATCAGTGAAGAGGCGGGGCCAGGAGCTGAGTCTCGACCCCTGCAACCACAATTAGGTGAGGCGTGTAGGTGAGTACTCGCTCACGCTCTCGCTCACGCTCTCGCTCACGCTCTCGCTCACGCTCTACGCTCACGCTCTCGCTCTCGCTCACGCTCTCGCTCTCGCTCTCGCTCACGCTCTCGCTCACGCTCTCGCTCTCGCTCTCGCTCATGCTCTCTCTCTCTCTCTCATGCTCTCTCACGCTCTCTCTCACGCTCTCTCTCACGCTCTCTCTCACGCTCTTTTCTCACGCTCTCTCTCACGCTCTCTCTCACGCTCTCTCTCACGCTCTCTCTCACGCTCTCTCTCACGCTCTCTCTCACGCTCTCTCTCACGCTCTCTCTCACGCTCTCTCTCTCACGCTCTCTCTCACGCTCTCTCTCACGCTCTCTCTCCACGCTCTCTCTCACGCTCTCTCTACGCTCTCTCTCACGCTCTCTCTCACGCTCTCTCTCACGCTCTCTCTCACGCTCTCTCTCACGCTCTCTCTCACGCTCTCTCTCACGCTCTCTCACGCTCCTCTCACGCTCTCTCTCACGCTCTCTCTCACGCTCTCTCTCACGCTCTCTCTCACGCGCTCTCTCACGCGTCTCTCCTCACGCTCTCTCTCACGCTCTCTCTCACGCTCTCTCTCACGCTCTCTCTCACGCTCTCTCTCACGCTCTCTCTCACGCTCTCTCTCACGCTCTCTCTCACGCTCTCACGCTCTCTCTCACTCTCTCACACTCTCTCACTCTCTCACTCTCTCACTCTCTCTCACTCTCTCTCACTCTCACTCTCTCTCTCTCTCTCACTCTCTCTCTCTCTCTCTCTCTCTCTCTCTCTCTCTCTCTCTCTCTCTCTCTCTCTCTCTCTCTCTTTCTTTCTGTGTGTGTGTGTGTGTGTGTGTGTGTCAGTGAAAGTGCTCTATTAACATCACCCAACCAAACCCAAGTGTATTTTTGAGAAAGACACCACTCCCACGAGTCCCCCTGGGGCAGGGGAGATGGCAGACCAGAGGCCTAGCTTCTCCCTACGAGCCCCGTGAGGGTGGGGAATGGGGCTAGGCTTGGGGAAGGTTGGTCCCAGAAGATGAGGAGGTACTTGTACCTTCTCCCATGGGAGACAGGTCTCAGACACTCCCAAGACAGGGAGCCAAAGCTGGGTCACCCATCTAGAAAAGACCTGGACTGAGAGAATACTGGCGAATCAAGAAGGAGTGTATGTATTTGGTCTGAAAAGCAGCCAAAAAAAAAAAAAATACAGCTACTACATAACTGCAGTCATTCCAAATTGAATTCAGTGGTGTTACATTATACATACTAAAAGAAAAGGGGCTCCTAACACCATCCAACCATGGCTGTCTCAAGGTGCTTGTAGCTTAACTGACCTTTTTGAAAGTCCTACCTTTGATGCAGTCTCTTGGACTTTTTTAACAGAAACTAACTAATTGCACCAACTTTGATTTGCATTTGTTCTTGCATTCTTCCATACCTCCACTGTTCCCTACCCTTGCACTTCCTTACCCCTCCCTCAGTCACTCCTATCCTTTCACTTGCTACTACCCAATTCACATTTGCATTTTTGCATATTCCTCCCTGCACCTCTTTATTACCTTTCTGGGTTGAGAGCCTAGATGGATTATAATAGTAATGGTATCCCATGGCTTAGTTGGTGGTGCACTCAGCTCACATATTAAGAGTCCATGGTTCAATCCTGAATACAGATGGAAACAGGCATGTTTCCTGCCTGAAATGCACATGCATACTTGTGACTTTCTTTTGTGCTTAATAGTATTTTAATACATGTAATTTACATTTATTTTACTGCACAATGAAATGAAATGTTTGTTTTTCTTTGCTTTTTGTTTTACACTTGCTGCCCCTGTAGATACTTGGGTTTTAGTCGATTTTTGTGGGTCTCGTCCCAGGGGTGGTAGTACACCTTAAACAAGGCTGGGCTTTGGAATGAGCTGAGGTAGGATAACGGTTCTTTGTCTGGAAAAGTGATCAGTGCAAAGAAAAATTTCCACTGAAATTTCAATAATTGCTTGACTTATGGTTAACCAATTTTTATTTTTGATAGAGTAATGAAGAAACTTTTTTTCTCTAAGGTGTATGCTTCATCATATGCAATTAACATTTTGGGCGAGTTTTAGTATTGGTTAATACTTTCACTAGAATTTTACAGCCCTAAGATTCTGCCACATATTTTTTTTTAATTTTTGCTCACTAAAAATTACCTAATCGAAAGCCTGCTATCCTAGGTAATTTACACTATGTAAGATAATCGTACTTATGTGTACCTGTGCCTTAATGAACTTACTTACGGTATACTACAACTACTATATGCATTTGTTTTTTGTTCTTACTAAAACTAAATTAATTGTTGATAGGTTGGAGATGAAATTCCCAGTGTGGATCTTTTTGAGGAGACTCCAGCAAATAGTGTCAACACTCGTGATTTGTGTGCAGGACGCAAAATCCTCATATTTGCTGTTCCTGGAGCATTTACCCCTGGTTGTTCCAAGGTTAGTATTTTTTGTTTTGATTAAAGTCACAGTGCTTTAAGTATAAAAGTTGATCTAACCATTAGCAGATGCTTAAATGAATCAGGTCTTTGACACTAAAGGCATAGAGGCACTCAGCAGGCAAAATGTTGAGTGAAGAATATAGACACTACTATCTACATGTATATTATAAGAGACAGATACTGTAGCATAAAGTTTCTAGAGCACATGTAAGTTTATCCGTATTGTCTTGGAAAAACTTAGCTGATTCAGTAACATATAGACATGAGTTATATCTTAGTCTTGCTTTGAGCCCTATTTTCGGCTAATTCCATTGTTCCAGTCGACCAAACTCATAGCTATATTTTAGAACTCCATTTGTTCTATCGATTGAGTACAAGAAACTGCCCATTTACCGATTTCAACTACCCAATAACGTGGTCAGAAATTTCCAATTTGGCCAATTTCATGTAAATTAAAAAATATGCCAATTTCAAAATAGGGTCCAGAATGAACAATGCAGACATTCCTGGCTCTAAAATAACATTTTCTTTGTTCATCAGTCACGTCTCCAGGCCCCTCTGATATTATTCTTGCTTACTGTTTGGAATTTTTATTCAAACAAAAATAGAAGATTTACTGTTATGCAGATTACTGCAATATTGTAATAATTGTATAAATAATGTCAACCCATTCGTGACTGCATATTAGAATGGCTAGTTGGACATTTATTGGACAATGACATCATTTGTTTACTTTTGAACATCGGCAAAAATCAAACATTTTCCCTACTTTGAGCTCCATTTCTTAGATATGTCTCTCATTCGCACTTCCAAACCAGGGTTAACTATCATACACACATCCTGATACTGGTCCACCATCTTGTCATGCATCACAGTCGTCACGAATTTCACAAATATCCTCGTTGAACCATTGAAGGCAATGCCGTAGAACAGATGCATTTGTGTTATACACCGCACCCTTCAGCACCTCTGTGCACACAGCGTTGACTCGTCTCCTGACAGCTTGTGCCATATTGAGAAAATCTCTCGGTGCTACCAACAAACAGAAGCACAACAGCCAACGTCCGCTCTCCACCAAGGGTACGTGACGAATGCAAGAGCTAAGGTGCAGCACAACCTCCCGGCCCGAAAGCGAAGAGTCAATCAAAAAGCACAATTAAGACTATGAGGTAGAATGGTAATTGAATACAAAAGTGACATTCAAAAGTAATTGGGTATTAGAGTTTTAGGGAACAAATTTTATGGCATTATATAACTGTTACAGGCCATTCATAACACTAATTGTGGACAGTGGATATAATCTGCACTTTACTCTGATTCTGTTAACCCAGCCTCGCTCAGGAATGTTTTTAGGTCGTATTCCGTAGAGAAGAAGTATCTCTTCCCAATGGGCTGTTTCCTAACGTGATGACATGCGCAGTGGTGTTTTACACTCCTTGCACATAAAATGAGTGTCTGTGATTTTATGGGCATTTTTTTTTTTTTGTATGTGCACAGACAATCATCTGTGTCTTAGAGGAAGTTTTACTAAGAAGTGATCACCATGCTTGAAACGTGAGGGTATTTGGTGATCAGTTTGTGGGCAGTTTTGAATTGCAGGTGTTGTGACCTGGTACTTTAATATTATTTGTCTGATGACAGTCAAACAAAATTCACCATATGGTGGTCTGTTGCCAATCTTCATTTGGTATGCATTATGTGCATTTAGTATGGAAATGTCCACGAGATGGAAGAATTTCATCTACCACATATAACTCTTGTGAATACAATCAGAAAATTCAATTTGCATGTTACATTTGTCCACCAAACTCATATTGAGTGTGTAGTCAATCACTGGTGCAGGTTTTAGAATTGGGCCATTGGTCACTCTTGTATAACCTGTAGTTTCTGTCAGGCTTTGTTTTGTCAGAGAAGTATAGCATACATAACAGTAGGAGAAATCTGTTGATTGGGATAATATTACTGAAGGCTGGGGTAGAAATTAGGTGATTTGTGGACCAGTATGATTTGATGTATGGCATTGTTGTGGCAAAAACCAAATGCATTTCAGCCACAGTTGTCTGCTTCCTCCAGTGAAGTTGTGACTATGCTGAAACTATTGTGTTTGTCATGGTGTCATCAAAGTACCTGTTACTTTATCTGACAATAATTTCCATCAGGGGTTGATCAAAAAAGTTTAAAAAATTCCAGTTCACTTGCAGTATTCCCAAGGGTACAAGATGGCCAGATTCCACCATGATTGCCATCAAATTGATGGGAATTGGGTACAAAATTCGTATTTTGCTGCCAATCCTGGATGTGATCTATTGTTGGGTACTGGATATTAGTAGCTGTTGTGGTCATGGTGTGGGAGTAGTTGAGGATGCCTTGAGTTGTGGATATGCTGGGTCAGCAGTATGGCTCCCAGCTTGGGCTGTTGCTGGTACTGCATCCTGTGTGGCAGCACCACCACTGACTGATGCATGGGGTCTATTATCCATCCCAATTGTAGCCAAGTCATTGTCAGTTTCACTGTTGGGCCACGGGATGTTCTTTGGGATGTATGTACTCCGTCCCATTGGAATAGCATAGGGCATACTACCAGACTGCATGTGGTGTCGTAAATTTACGCTTCTCTGGTGAATATTCTTCCTTGCTGTCACTACTTGAATGGTCATCGATAGCAAGGAAATATAAATTAACATCACTGTCATCACCATTACTCACATGTGAAGCCTGGCCATGGGAGTATATAAGCTTACACTTACAGTATTGTAAAACTGAATGTGAACCAGGTGGACCAACCCCAGAGATGGATGTTTGAGGGTAGTCGGGGTTTTTGGCACTACAGTGGTCTCCAACCTATGATATTAATCCGTTCCTGAGAGCCCATCCTAAGATGAAATGATTGTAAGTTGAATTAATTTTCCCCATAAGAAATAATGGAAATCAAATTAATCCCTGCAAGACACCCAAAAGTATGAAAAAAAAAAAATTTACCACATGAAATATACATTTTCTACTCTACTAAATGAAGAATAAATGACACTTACCTTTATTGAAGATGTAGCAATGACTAATGAGACATTGTGTCCTGGGAGTGCCTTTTCCTCCTGAGTAATGTAGGTCTTGTTTGGCATTTTCTTCCAGAACAGGCCTTATCACACTGTATGCCACTATGATTCGCAAATCTTTCAAACGAACCTTTGCTTGCCTTAAATGCACCAATATGAGCACTAGTTCCAGGCATTTTTTCCTGTTCACCTGGATGTTAGTTGACTGGTGTGGGTAGCATCCTGGGAGACAAGATTAAGGACCCCAATGGAAATAAGTTAGACAGTCCTCGATGACACACTGACTTTCTTGGGTTATCCTGGGTGGCTGACCCTCTGGGGTTAATTGTTTCTTGGTATTCTCAATAAGCCACACTAACAACGATGCTATAGCAGCAGCTGACGGTGCTACAACACTAGCAGCAGCTGACGGTGCTACAGCAGCAGCAGCAGCAGCAGCAGCTGACAGTGCTACAGCAGCAGCTGACGGTGCTACAGCAGCAGCTGATGGTGCTACAGCAGCAGCAGCAGCAGCTGACTGTGGTACAATAGTACAGTGGACCCCTGCTTAATGATCACCTCCCAATGCGACCAATTATGTAAGTGTATTTATGTAAGTGTGTTTGTACGTGTATGTTTGGGGGTCTGAAATGGACTAATCTACTTCACAATATTCCTTATGGGAACAAATTCGGTCTGTACTGACACCTGAACATACTTCTGGAATGAAAAAATATCGTTAACCGGGGGTCCACTGTATTTCGATAATATTTCTCACCCTTTTTACCACAGGGCTGGCACTAGAAGCTTTCTTTGGGCTCATGGTGGCTTATTTAGCAGTTAGAAGCACTAAAAACACTGGAATAATACAAAATATATGTATTCTGAATGTATGCTTGGGAGCGACCGCTCTGGCTTGTAAACCTAGGCACACTAACTGAAGGCAGGCCAGCTGAGGCGCTCTCAGGCGGACAGACGTGTACGCGTGCCAGACAAATGCTGTAGGTCGAGTTTTTCAACGCACGTCGGGGTTAGATTTTTACGCTGAAAAGCATCGTAGGTCAGTTTTAACGTAGGATGGGGACATCGTATGTCGGGGGTCCACTGTATATCCATGATCCTGAGTGTTGCTTTTGGTCATTAACTGATGAAAACCACAAAATTCATCTTTACTTCCACCTTCGTCACTGATTGAGCTGTCACTTGGGAAGAGAAGCTTCCCAATTCAGTGGGTTTTTGCTACCATGAGGCATGGTGGACAATGGGTACCGAGATGGCGTTCCCGTAGTGCAATGCAGGCGCCCTGATTTTTTGTTTACTGCACACACTGACCATGCAGACCCATTCTCTTGAGATGCAGGCCTACCAGCCTTCTCGTGCTAAATTTGAAGCTGTTAGAATTTTGGCATAATACTACAACAAAGACACTGACTTCAAGCCTGTAATACTATGGCACACACAGTGAAGGGTTAATAAGATTTTGTTGGCAGACTTATCATTTAAATTTCCAAAATGTTTAACTGCAATTTTTGGCCATTTGTTGCAAAATGTCTCCTTAAATAAAAGATGCTCAGAGTGGCAGACTGCATAACATTAAGTATCCAAAACTGAGCATTTATTTATTTATTTATTTATTTATTTATTTATTTAATAATTTGAACATACAGAGGTACAAAAAAATACAGGTAAGAGCAGCATGCCAAAGCCACTTGTATGCATAGCATTATGGGCTGGCTTAAAATTAACTTAAGATTAACTAAGCAATGATGTAATCAGTGATAAAACATTATTGTAAACAGATAATAAAGCACAAATGAGTATTACAAAGACAGGTCATATGGTGGCATGCATTGCTGTACATTCAGTAGAATGGAGTATTCTGTTAGGTAGTGTATTTAAAAAATAACAAAGTTAGATTGGGTCTTAGGTTTAACATTTATGTGATATAATTGTGAAATAGTAATAAAATAACATGAACATGATTGAAATATAAAGAAAAATTTCATATCTGTAATATTTCCCAAATCTGTAATCTCCTTGTGTTTAGTCATTATTAAAGCATGTCTCTGTTCAGACTTTACAAATACAGATTGTGTAATATGCAATGTGTCTGGTGAGTGGTCAGCAGCGTCAAAGTTGAGCCATTAAAGTAAGAAAAGAACATAGATCTATAGGAGAATCTTTGTATCAGAAATGCAAACAAGAGAGTTACAGGAGAAACTGTATCTGTTGTGACTTAAAATACTGACAGACTCATGTTCAATAAGTCCTATTATTCATTTTCATGAACATGGCTTCACTTTAATTGAGCATTGTATATTATGTAGTCGGCCTGAAAAAGTATCAGATGAAAGGAGAGACTGAGGCCAGTAATAAAGCCCTGGTTTTTTCAGTCAACCATTCACTGCATATCAGTCATTTAATCAGTTTATTTTTGCATGATAAATTTTATGCAATTTAACATTTGGAGCATGTTTTATGACCACGCTTTCGAGATCACTTATTTTTTTCAGACTCATCTCCCTGGTTATATATCCCAAGCTGATGCAATAAAAAACAAGGGCATTGAAGAGATTGCTTGTGTTGCAGTAAATGACCCATTTGTAATGGCAGCATGGGGTGAATGTAAGGGTGCAGGAGACAAGGTAATGCTTTTGTAAGATAATTTTTAAAAAAATAAATGATTATGATGGTATGCATTTCTTGAATTTGAAATGATAATAAAAATTGAAGTACTTTTGAGCAAAGTTGCTCTCAAAAACATGTAATTTTATGTGAACTTTCAAACTGTCCACGTCCAGTTACAGTATGTGCCCTGCTTTATCAAAATATTTCCCAATTAAAGATTCTTTATTTCAGTATGATAGAATGTTTGTACAGAGATGGGTGATATTTAGTTGTGAATTCAGAAAACTCCTTAATATACAGAGTGTTTTGGTATTGTATTTTTATATTAGCATTATGTAGTGTGGACACTACATAATTCCTGTATACAGGGTTATACTTTTGGCTTAAGTGGTAGCGTTTTTGGTTCACATCCAAAGGACCCGGGTTCGATCCCAGCACAAGTATTGCCTTTGTTCACCTAGCAGTTCACCTAGCAGTAAGCAAGTACCTGGGTGTTGCCTCACTGTTGTGAGCTCAGAGTAGCAGAAATATTTGAGTTTTGCTGATAATTTCCTGAGGATGGTTAAGAACCTTCCCTTCATCCCCAGTCTATTTTATGTTTTTTAATAGGTCTGGTTCATTGATTGGGACACTAAACCATGAGCAATCATTCCTTGTTATATTTTATTATCTGAGAAATAAAGTAAATCTTCTATTTTAGTGTGATTATAAATTCAAAATGGGAAGCAAGTGTAATATAGGAAAGGCCTGTAGACATAGTTAATGAAGAGAGGACATGTTTTAGTGCTAGGAATGTCTACATTATTTATTTTGATTTTTTTTTCCAACAAACCGGCTGTATCCCACCAAGGCAGGGTGGCCCAAAAAGAAAAATAAAAGTTTCTCTTTTTAAATTTATTAATTTATACAGGAGGAGTTACTAGCCCCTTGCTCCCGGCATTTTAGTTGCCTCTTACTACACGCATGGCTTACAGAGGAAGAATTCTGTTCCACTTCCCCATGGAGATAAGAGGAAGTAAACAAGAACTAGAAAGAAAATAGAAGAAAACCCAGAGGGGTGTGTATATATATGCTTGTACATGTATGTGTAGTGTGACCTGAGCGTAAAGAGAAGTAGCAAGACGTACCTGAAATCTTGCATGTTTATGAGATGGAAAAAAAGACACCAGCAATCCTACCATCATGTAAAACGATTACAGCCTTTCATTTTACACTCACTTGGCAGGACAGTAGTACCTCCCTAGGCGGTTGCTGTTTACCAACCTATTACCTAGTTACTTTGAAATATTTTTAAATTAGTACAGTGGAATCTCGGTTGTCAAATGCATTACTTGAACAAATCAGTTTTCTAACGAGGAATTCAAGAAAAGTGTTCTGGATTTCGTACGTTCTCGGTTGTCTTGTGACAATGTGAACAGCTTGGGTCACGTACTCACAGAATGTGCACTGGATGCTGTAAATATCTCTTGAGCTTTTGTTGTGCATCTTGTGAGCTTTTTTAGTTATTTAGGTAGTAGGTTGGTAGACAGCAACCACCCAGGGGGTGTACTGCCGTCCTGTCAAGTGAGTGTGAAACGAAAGCCTGTAATTGTTTTACATGATGGTAGGATTGCTGGTGTCTTTTGTCTGTCTTATAAATATGCAAGATTACAGGTATGTCTTGCTACTTCTACTTACACTTAGGTCACACTACACATACATGTTCATGTTTATTTATACACACTCATCTGAGTTTTCTTTGATTTTATCTTAATAGTTCTTGTTCTTATTACTTTTCCTTGTATATCCATGGGGAAGTGGAGTAAGACTCTTTCCTCCATAAGCCATGCGTGTTGTAAAAGTCAACTAAAATGCCAGGAACAATGGGCTAGTAACCCCTTTTCCTGTAATAATTGCTAAAAAGAATAAGAGGAAGAAAATTGTCAAAGTGGGATGTCTGAATGTGCATGGATGTTGTGTGAATGATAAGAAAGAGATGATTGTGGATGTCCTGGCTTTAAGCCTTTGACTGTCGCAACCCCCAATCCTGAGGTGTCTCCTGGTGTCGCAAAATTTATAAAAAAAAAAAAAAAATTATTTTTTTCTTATGAAATGATAGAGAATCTTTTCCCGATTGTAATGACCACCTTGAGAGTCACTGGAGTCCTGTCTCGCAGGACTCCAGTCTTGTCTCGCAGCTCAGAATCTTGCTGCAGAGGAGGAAGAAGAGAGATGGAAGAAGGTGCCTTCTTCAGAAATTAAGGAGATTTTTGAAATGTGGGGTAGGATGGAAAGATTTATGGAGAAACATCACCCTGAGAAGGATGTTGCAAGCCATATCAGCAACTTGTACAGTGACAGAGTCTTGGCCCATTGTAGGGAAGTTTTAAAGAGACGCCAGAAACAGAGTTCTCTGGACAGTTTTTTTGCGAGACAGGACTCCAGTGACTCTCAAGGTGGTCCTAGTGGCATTAAGAAACAGAGAAGAGAAGTAACCCCAGAAAAGCAATTGGTACCTGAGGTGTTGATGGAAGGGGATTCCCCTTCCAAACAGTAAATAATCCAATCTCTCTCCTTCTCCAGTCTTCCATACACAAAGAAGAATCGCCAATAAAGATAAGAGCTATTCTGTTAATGTTTCATTCATCATGTGCCACTGTATTGTTTATGTACTACATCTATATTTCATGTAAAAAAATGTTTTGTTTTAATACTTCTGGGTGTCAGGAATGGATTAATTGCATTTACATTATTTCTTATGGGGAAAATTGATTCGAAAATCGTCTATTTCGATAATAGTCCCACTTTCAGGAACGGATTATGGATGATTATTGAGGGACCACTGTATGTGAATAGTATTTAGATAAAGGTAGGGAAGTTTTTATTGCATTTATGGATTTAGAAAAGGCATATGATAGAGTGGATAGGGGAGCAATGTGGCAGATGTTGCAAGTATATGGAATAGGTGGTAAGTTACTAAATGCTGTAAAGAGTTTTTATGAGGATAGTGAGGCTCAGGTTAGGGTTTGTAAAAGAGAGGGAGACTACTTCCTGGTAAAAGTGGGTCTTAAACAGGGATGTATAATGTCACAATGGTTGTTTAATATACAGTGGAACCTCAAATATAGAACTTTCTTCGGTCCAGAAGGCTGTTCAAGTGTCGCTACCGAACGAATTTATTCCCATCAGGAATAATGTAAATTAGATTAGTCCATTTCAGACCCTCAAAAATACACTTATAAAAGCACTTACAAAAATACACTTACGTAATTGGTTGAGTTGGGAGCAGTTCGATTTTTGAGGTTCCACTGTATTTATAGATGGGGTTGTAAAAGAAGTAAATGCTAGGGTGTTCGGGAGAGGGGTGGGATTAAATTGTGAGGAATCAAATACAAAATGGAAATTGACAGTTACTTTTTGCTGATGATACTGTGCTTATGGGAGATTCTAAAGAAAAGTTGCAAAGGTTAGTGGACGAGTTTGAGAGAGTGTGTAAAGGTAGAAAGTCGAAAGTGAACATAGAAAAGAGTAAGGTGATGAGGGTATCAAATGATTTAGATAAAGAAAAATTGAATATCAAATTGGAGAGGAGGAGTATGGAAGAAGTGAATGTTTTCAGTTATTTGGGAGTTGACTTGTCAGCGGATGGATTTATGAAGGATGATGTTAACCATAGAATTGATGAAGGAAAAAAGGTGAGTGATGCATTGAGGTATATGTGGAGACAAAAAACATTATCTTTGGAGGCAAAGAAGGAAATGTATGACAGTATAGTGATACCAACACTCTTATATGGGTGTGAAGTTTGGGTTGTAAATGCTGCAGCAAGGAGGCGGTTGGAGGTGGTGGAGCGGTTGGAGGTGGTGGAGATGTCCTGTCTAAGGGCAGTGTGTGGTGTGAATATTATGCAGGATATTCGGAGTGTGGAAATTAGGAGAAGGTGTGGAGTTAATAAAAGTATTAGTCAGAGGGCTGAAGAGGGGTTGTTGAGGTGGTTTGGTCATTTAGAGAGAATGGATCAAAGTAGAATGACATGGAGAGCATATAAATCTGTAGGGGGAGGTAGGTGGGGTAGGGGTCATCCTCGAAAAGGTTAGAGGGAGGGGGTAAAGGACGTTTTGTGGGCGAGGGGCTTGGACTTCCAGCAAGCGTGCATGAGTGTGTTAGGAGTGAATGGAGGCGAATGGTATTTGTGACCTGACGAGCTGTTGGAGTGTGAGCATGGTAATATTTAGTGAAGGGATTCAGGGAAACCGGTTATTTTTATATAGCCAGACTTGAGTCCTGGAAATGGGAAGTACAATCCCTGCACTTTAAAGGAAGGGTTTGGGATATTGGCGGTTTGGAGAGATACATTGTGTATTTTTATACGTATATACTTCTAAACTGTTGTATTCAGAGCACCTCTGCAAAAACAGTGATTATATGTGAGTGAGGTGAAAGTGTTGATTGATGAAAGTACAGTGGACACCCGCCTAACGATATTATTTCGTTCCAGAAGTCTGTTCGGGTGCCGTTATAGACCAAATTTGTTCCCATAAGGAATATTGTGAAATAGATTAGTCCGTTTCAGAACCCCAAACATACACCTACAAAAGCACTTACGAAAATACACTTACATAATTGGTCGAGTTGGGAGCTGATCGTTAGGCGGGGGTCCACTGTATTTTCATTTTGGGGATTTTCTTTCTTTTTGGGTCACCTACCTCTGTGGGAGATGGCTGACCTGTTAAAAAAAAAAAAGATTCTAGAACATGTGTAATATGTGTTTAGCTGGATGGGTGGGTGGGTTTCTGTTTGGCTGATTGATTTTGGCTGTCTCTATCTCTGTCTGTCTGTAACTGTCTATCCCTGTCTGTCTATATGTCTGTCTCTGACTATATCTGTCTCTTATCTCTGTCTCTTATCTCTGTCTCTATCTCACAGGTACACATAAGTATAGTTATCATACATAGTGTAAATTACCTAGGACAACCTTAAAAAAATCCAAAGTGCTATACTGGAAGTAATACGCATTTTCACTTGCTCAGGAGTCAGACGTGACAACTGCAGCCTGTGTAATACCTGTTGGTTCATGAGCAGTTCTGAGACAGAAAGAGACAGGGACACACAGGCAGACAGAAAGACAGTTAAGCAGAGACAGAGATAAACAAGAGTTGGACAGAGACTTTTATGTATAACGGCAAGAGCAAATACAACCAAAATAACAAAAAAAAGCACAATACTGTGACTTGAACAATACACAAATAACCCGCACGCAGAAGAGAGGAGCTTAAGACAACATTTCGGTCTGACTTGGACCAATTACAAAGTCACACTAATGAAAAGGAGACAAGAGAGTATATATAGGCAAGCAGACAGGGACGGGACAAGAGAGGTAGTAGTGGTAGTGGTGGTAGTAGTAGTAGTAGTAGTAGTAGTGGTAGTAGTAGTAGTGGAGGTAGTAGATAGCAGTAGTGGAGGTAGTAGATAGTAGTGGTGGAGGTAGTACTAGTAGTGGTGGAGTCAGTCAAATACTAAGAAAGAGGAGCACTGCAAGGGAGCTAGGGGCCCACAGAGAGTAGGAGCAAGAACAAGAGGGGGGGAAAATAATGAAGGAACAAATACCCAAGGTAGAAGAAAGAAAACCCAAAGGAGAAAGAGGAAAGGGGAAGAGGGAGAAGAAAAAAGGAATCAGGTTAAGTCACGGGTGTTCTGAAGTTTGGAGCATTTTACATTGTAGTGGGAAAGGAAGGCATCTACAGAGACAAAGCCAGGACTAAGATTCACACAAGGAAAGTTGTGTATAAGGGAGGATTCAACCAGATGGGGACTGTGAAAGTTGGAAGTTGGGTAGACAGTGTTAGCAGAAGACCAGTCAGTAGGATGACTGTGATCTCTGACGTGACAGAAAAGAGCATTGTTCGTGTCGGCAAGCTTAACACTACTTTTGTACTCCCTAAGTCTGTCAGAAAGAGATCGGCCAGTTTCTCCAAAGTACTAAAGAGGACAAGAGGAACAAGAAATAGACACCAGGAACATCTATAGAGGGAGGAGAGGTATGAACTAGATTAGTGTGAAAAGTGTTAGTCTGGCAGAAAGCAAGTATAATGTCTAAGGAATGGAGAGAGTTGTTAAGATTAGAAAGATCGGAAATGTAGGGAAGGCAGAAGACAGGAGAGTTCCCAGGAGTATAGAGTTTGGGAGAGAAGAAAGTCTATTTAGCATGTGAGAAAGCAGTCTATGAAATGGGAAGGGTAGCAAGACAGTCGCATAGGAAGCTTTGCTTCCTACGTGACTGTCTTGCTGAACAAGTTTTGCCCCCTTCCTTCTACCATTTCCTGAAACCCAACCCTCTGGGCACTCCCTCTCCTGATCATGCCTATCTCCTATTTTAACAGCTCATTCTTTCTACTAAGTCTCAGGTTGAAGATGCCTTTACTGTCCGTCAGCATCAATGTGCTCTCTTTGCTTCTTTCCCACAAGATCTCTGTAACCTTCTCTCTACCATTGCTTTTGACACTGCTCACCTGAGTTCACAAATTCATTCTTCTGAACTACAGAATGAACTTCAGCATCTCATCTCAGCTAGCCCTTGGTCTAAATTCTCCCTTACCGACTGTGTTACTAATCTGTCTTCTGTTTCACACTCTCAGCATGAGCTTGAACTTCTTGGTTTTGGTTTTTCCTTTGCCACTTCGCCTACCCTTCACCCTGGTATTGCCCTGATTTGCTCTTTTCATTCTTTTCGTCAGTCTCGCTCCCGTAATCTTCCTGACTAGTCCACTTTTCGTGGCGCTTTCCTTCCTGCTTTTGATAGTCTGTTTTCTAAGAACCGCCACCTTCCTCGCCGCTATCAACTTGCTCTTTCTTCTCTTAAATCTAACACTAACATTGTCATACCATCTTCTAACAGAGGTAATTCGGTAGTTATCCTTGATCATGAGTATTACCTCCGTAAAGCTGACGTCTTGCTCTCTGACTCGCGTACCTACTCTCCTCTCATTTCCAACCCTCTTGATTCTGGAGTTTACCTGGAGAGGGTTTTGGGGGTCAACACCCCCGCTGCCCGGTCTGAGACCAGTCCTCATGGTGGATCAGGGCCTGATCAACCAGGTTGTTACTGCTGGCCGCACGCAAGCTGATGTACGAACCACAGCCCGGTTGGTCAGGTACTGACTTTAGGTGCCTGTCCAGTGCCTTCTTGAAGACAGCCAGGGGTCTCTTGGTAATCCCCCTTATGTATGCTGGGAGGCAATTGAGCAGTCTTGGGCCCCAGACACTTATTGTGTTGTCTCTCAGTGTACTTGTGGCGCCCCTGCTTTTCATCAGGGGAATGTATCTCCTGCCGAGTCTTTTGCTTTCATAGATCACAGCAAGAGAGCTTTCAACAAGAAACTAAGGATTCTCTCCGACCTCTGTCCACCTGACTTTGAACGTTTTCGTGTCATCTGTCCCTCTCTTACCTATTTCTATGGCATGGTGGTGAATGTTGCAACTAGGAGAAGGCTGAAGGCAGTGGAGATGTTATGTCTGAGGGCAATGTGTGGTGTGAATATAATGCAGAGAATTCGTAGTTTGGAAATCAGGAGGAGGTGCAGGATTACCAAAACGATTATCCAGAAGGCTGAGGAGGGGTTGCTGAGGTGGTGCAGACATGTAGAGAGGATGGAACGAATCAGAATGACTTTGAGAGTGTATAAATCTGTAGTGGAAGGAAGGCAGGTAGAGGTTGGCTGAGGAAAAGTTGGAGGGAGGGGGTAAAGGTGGTTTTGTGTGCGAGGGGCTTGGACTTCCAGCAAGCATGCGTAAGTGTATTTGATAGGAGTGAATGGAGACAAATGGTTTTTAATACTTGACATGCTGTTGGAGTGTGAGCAAAGTAACATATATGAAAGGATTCAGGGAAACCGCTGGCTTGACTTGAGTCCAGGAGATGGGAAGTACAGTGTCTGCACTCTGGAGGAGGGGTGTTACTGTTGCAGTTTTATAACTGTAGTGTAAAGTACCCCTCTGGCAAGACAGTAATGGAGTGAATGATGATGAGTTTTTCTTTTTCGGGCCACCCTGCCTTGGTGGGAATCGGCTGATGTGTTAATAAGTAAAAAAAAAATTGAAGAGAGGGAGCATGGAAGAAGTAAATGTGTTTAAATATTTGGGAATTGACTTGTCAGCAGATGGGTTTATGAAGGATGAGGTTAACCATGGAATTGGTGAAGGGGAAAAAAGGTGAGTGGTGCTTTGAGGTATCTGTTGAGACAAAACACATTATCCATGAAGGCAAAGAAGGGAATGTGTGAGAACATAGTGGTACCAACATGTATGGGTGTGAAGCGTGGGTTGTAAATGCTGCAGCAACAAGGAGGCTGGAGGCAATGGAGATGTCATGACTAAGGGCATTGTGTGCTGTAAATATTATGCAGAGAATTTGTAGTGTGTAAATTAGGTGTGGAGTTATACTAAAAGTATTAGTCAGAGTGCTGAAGAAGGGTTGTTGAGGTGGTAGGGAAAGGAAGGTAGGGTAGGGGTCATCCTTGGAAAGGATTGACAAAGTTGGAGGGAGGGGGCAAAGGAGGTTTTATGGGTGAAGGGCTTGGACTTCCAGCAAGCCTGTGTGAGCATGTTAGATAGGAATGGAGACGAATGGTTTTTGGGACCTGACGAGCTGTTGGAGATTGTGTGGGGTAATAGTTTGTGAAGGGATTCAGGGAAACCAGTTAGCCGGACTCGAGTCTTGGATGTGGGAAGTACCATGCCTGCACTTTGAAGGAGGGGGTTTGGGATGTTGGCTGTTTGGAGTGACATTTAAACTGTCATATCTGAATGCCTCTGCAAAGACAGTGATTATGCATGAATGATGGTGAAAGTGTTGAATGATGAAAGTCTTTTTTTTCTTTTCAGGTTACCTTGCCTCGGTGGCAAACGGCCTACATGTTAAAAAAAAAAATTATGTTGTTTGTAATACATTACAACTGTAATATTCATCATGAGATTTACCTTACCCTAGTTCTCATGTAGTTTGTTACTCAATCATCAGTATAGCAAGGAGAGCTTCACCTCAGTTTAATGTTGTACATTTTCCATTTCCCCAGGTTCGTATGCTTGCTGATACCAATGGTGAATTTACCAAAGCAGTTGGACTTGATCAAGATTTGGCTGTTTTAGGGGGCTTAAGGTCAAAACGCTATTCCATGATTGTTGAAGATGGTAAAGTTGCTCAACTCAATGTGGAACCTGATGGAAAAGGTCTTTCTTGCTCATTGGCTGAAAATACTTTGGCTAAGTTGTAGAGTACTTTTCTAACTAATATATCCATTTGTTGCAAAATTCAACAGAGATCATGCTTAACAAACTCTTGAAAATATTGGTATTGTAGAGATTGTAATAATTTTCTTCCAGTTTACAGTTTCATCAAAGAATGTGTGTTATCAGCCAATTATACAATGTTGTTTTCATTTTGGCAGCTCCATTAAAGAATACTAGTATCTACTAATTGTCTACCAAATATTGCCTAAGCATTTTTTTTTGGGTTGTAGAGCAATTCATTAGTCATGTATAGATAAATTGCTTGCTCTATTCACTACAAAGAGTAGCTCTTTAGTGATTGTGGCAAATTTTGGTATCTCTAATGATTCTTCTTTCAACGCTCTCGCCGTATTCCACCGAGGCGGGGTGGCCCAAAAGGAAAAACGAAAGCTTCTCCTTTTACATTTAGTAATATATACAGGAGAAGGGGTTATTAGCCCCTTGCTCCATCTCTAATGATTATTGTAACAAATTTTGTTAGTGCACTTCCATTACCATTGATTTTGTATAGATTATTGGAACTAATGGGGAGGTGCACATAATGCAATTTTTCCTTCCTTCAGATATTGTCATGCATTGAGAATTTTCTTCTGTCTATTAAATCATGAGATTATTGCTTCAGTTTTATTACAGTATATTTCTAATTTTATAAGCAAGTACGGGGCCTGCACTCTGAAGGATGGGTGAGGGTGCTACTGTCCGGTGGTCATTTAAATTGGGATTCCTATTTACTTTTGAAAAGACAGCTTGAGAATGAGTCTGGCTCCCATGTCATTGTCTGTTCAGTAACGGAACTTGGTTGAATTGAGTAATTGTTTATTTGATTCAACTGTTTTCTTTTTCTTTCCTTTTCCTTTCATTGCCTTGCTGGAAAAAGGACACTGAAAAAGAAAAGACTGTAGGATTCCCTTTGAACAGCATTTTAATGCCGTTCAGAGTGAATTTAGTTAAAAATTAGGATACAGATGGAAAATCTTGTTTCACAATCTCTTGGAGATGCCAGATCTTTCTTAAAGAACCTCGTTTCTTAAATTAATTATAGTACAATACCATATATACAACATATCTACCTTTCAGATGATGGTATACACTAGCAAGGAATTATTAAATTTTAGTATATTTCATATCCCAATAATAATCTCTCATTCTTTCAGTATTTCTTTCCAGAAATATATTCGGTATATAAGTAATAAGTAATACATATTTTATGAAAAAGAGGATAAATAAATATACAAGGTATGATGTAGCACGTAATGAAAGTAGTTTATTAGATTATGTATTGGTGGATAAAAGGTTGATGGGTAGGCTCCAGGATGTACATGTTTATAGAGGGGCAACTGATATATCGGATCATTATTTAGTTGTAGCTACAGTTAGAGTAAGAGGTAGATGGGAAAAGAGGAAGGTGGCAACAACAAGTAAGAGGGAAGTGAAAGTGTATAAACTAAGGGAGGAGGAAGTTCGGGTGAGATATAAGCGACTATTGGCAGAAAGGTGGGCTAGTGCAAAGATGAGTAGTGGGGGGGTTGAAGAGGGTTGGGAATAGTTTTAAAAATGCAGTATTAGAATGTGGGGCAGAAGTTTGTGGTTATAGGAGGGTGGGGGCAGGAGGAAAGAGGAGTGATTGGTGGAATGATGAAGTAAAGGGTGTGATAAAAGAGAAAAAGGTAGCTTATGAGAGGTTTTTACAAAGCAGAAGTGTTATAAGAAGAGCAGAGTATATGGAGAGTAAAAGAAAGGTAAAGAGAGTGGTGAGAGAGTGCAAAAGGAGAGCAGATGATAGAGTGGGAGAGGCACTGTCAAGAAATTTTAATGAAAATAAGAAAAAATTTTGGAGTGAGTTAAACAAGTTAAGAAAGCCTAGGGAAAATATGGATTTGTCAGTTAAAAACAGAGTAGGGGAGTTAGTAGATGGGGAGATGGAGGTATTGGGTAGATGGCGAGAATATTTTGAGGAACTTTTAAATGTTAAGGAAGAAAGGGAGGCAGTAATTTCATGCACTGGTCAGGGAGGTATACCATCTTTTAGGAGTGAAGAAGAGCAGAATGTAAGTGTGGGGGAGGTACGTGAGGCATTACGTAAAATGAAAGGGGGTAAAGCAGCTGGAACTGATGGGATCATGACAGAAATGTTAAAAGCAGGGGGGATATAGTGTTGGAGTGGTTGGTACTTTTGTTTAATAAATGTATGAAAGAGGGGAAGGTACCTAGGGATTGGCAGAGAGCATGTATAGTCCCTTTATATAAAGGGAAAGGGGACAAAAGAGACTGTAAAAATTATAGAGGAATAAGCTTACTGAGTATACCAGGAAAAGTGTACGGTAGGGTTATAATTGAAAGAATTAGAGGTAAGACAGAATGTAGGATTGCGGATGAGCAAGGAGGTTTTAGAGTGGGTAGGGGATGTGTAGATCAGGTGTTTACATTGAAGCATATATGTGAACAGTATTTAGATAAAGATAGGGAAGTTTTTATTGGATTTATGGATTTAAAAAAAGGCATATGATAGAGTGGATAGAGGAGCAATGTGGCAGATGTTGCAAGTATATGGAATAGGTGGTAAGTTATTAAATGCTGTAAAGAGTTTTTATGAGGATAGTGAGGCTCAGGTTAGGGTGTGTAGAAGAGAGGGAGACTACTTCCCGGTAAAAGTAGGTCTTAGACAGGGATGTGTAATGTCACCATGGTTGTTTAATATATTTATAGATGGGGTTGTAAAGGAAGTAAATGCTAGGGTGTTTGGGAGAGGGTGGGATTAAATTATGGGGAATCAAATTCAAAATGGGAATTGACACAGTTACTTTTTGCTGATGATACTGTGCTTATGGGAGATTCTAAAGAAAAATTGCAAAGGTTAGTGGATGAGTTTGGGAATGTGTGTAAAGGTAGAAAGTTGAAAGTGAACATAGAAAAGAGTAAGGTGATGAGGGTGTCAAATGATTTAGATAAAGAAAAATTGGATATCAAATTGGGGAGGAGGAGTATGGAAGAAGTGAATGTTTTCAGATACTTGGGAGTTGACGTGTCGGCGGATGGATTTATGAAGGATGAGGTTAATCATAGAATTGATGAGGGAAAAAAGGTGAGTGGTGCGTTGAGGTATATGTGGAGTCAAAAAACGTTATCTATGGAGGCAAAGAAGGGAATGTATGAAAGTATAGTAGTACCAACACTCTTATATGGGTGTGAAGCTTGGGTGGTAAATGCAGCAGCGAGGAGACGGTTGGAGGCAGCGGAGATGTCCTGTTTAAGGGCAATGTGTGGTGTAAATATTATGCAGAAAATTCGGAGTGTGGAAATTAGGAGAAGGTGTGGAGTTAATAAAAGTATTAGTCAGAGGGCAGAAGAGGGGTTGTTGAGGTGGTTTGGTCATTTAGAGAGAATGGATCACAGTAGAATGACATGGAAAGCATATAAATCTATAGGGGAAGGAAGGCGGGGTAGGGGTCGTCCTCGAAAGGGTTGGAGAGAGGGGGTAAAGGAGGTTTTGTGGGTAAGGGGCTTGGACTTCCAGCAAGCGTGCGTGAGCGTGTTAGATAGGAGTGAATGGAGACGAATGGTACTTGGGACCTGACGATCTGTTGGAGTGTGAGCAGGGTAATATTTAGTGAAGGGATTCAGGGAAACCGGTTATTTTCATATAGTCGGACTTGAGTCCTGGAAATGGGAAGTACAATGCCTGCACTTTAAAGGAGGGGTTTGGGATATTGGCAGTTTGGAGGGATATGTTGTGTATCTTTATATGTTTATGCTTCTAGACTGTTGTATTCTGAGCACCTCTGCAAAAACAGTGATAATGTGCGAGTGTGGTGAAAGTGTTGAATGATGATGAAAGTATTTTCTTTTTGGGGATTTTCTTTCTTTTTTGGGTCACCCTGCCTCGGTGGGAGACGGCCGACTTGTTGAAAAAAAAAAAAAAAAAAAAAAATGAGATCTGTAACAATACTGCATTTAGGTGTATTTTTCTTGATTTGTTTCTGTATGCAATAATTATTGGACCCAGACATTAAGGTTGGAATCATTGTGTGTGTGTGTGTGTGGGGGGGGGGGGGGGAAGAATAAAGAGAGAATATATACTACGAAAAAAATACTCATTTTCTTTTGTACGGTACTATCATCACTGTGTATTAATGTTCAAGATATTACCAAAGTTATCATTTTGCTTAATGTAAATATTGCCAAGAATAGTCTTGAAAAGTTATTGTTATTCCATGGCTTCTTGTGGAAGACATCATTCTGATCTGTCTTTTAGAAATGTTGCTTTTTGTATATTGATTTCTATAGAATGATGTTGACCATGTATCTGCAGGAAGAGATTTGTCATATTAAACTGACCATGGAGCTTCTTTAGAGTTAAATACGAGTTTTTTTTACTTTTGTACCTGAGGGAAATTTATCCTGGAAACTTGCCTTACTATGTACAAAATCATATTACATAATATGCTTAAAACTGGATAAAGCTCACCTGGTACTAAAATTTCTTTTGTGAAATGAAGGACCGTGTTCTGTAGTATTCTGTTAATAAAGATTGATTCCAGTTTATCCGAATTTGTTTATCCACGTAAAACTCAAAGTAGATGTGCAGTAGTAATCACTGCATTTGCTCTTGGCAGTTTTTACTTTATTTGTATATTTTAAATTAGTAAGTAAAGGTATATAGGATAAGAAAGAGAAACACTAATATAAACAAATTTTTTCCCCATCAGACATTGTTACTGGGTGCCCTTGGGTAGGAATGATGGATGAGGCATCTTCAACAATCCTTCCTTAGCCCTCTGAACTATACTTTTCATAATTTCACACTGTTCCATTTTCTGTGTTGCAAAATTTTTGCATAATGCAGTATTTACAACACATTCCCCTCAAACATGACATCACTATCTCCAGCCTCCTATCTGCAATATTTAATGCCCATGCCTCACATCCATACAAATATTGGTGCCAAGGAATAGTACTCATGATTATAATAGTCTGGTTATCCATAACTCATCTTTATTACCCTCAAGAGAGATGCCTTGATACTGGTGAAGGGCTTTTGATCCAAGAAATTAGATCTGTCCTTCCCTTGGACCAAATGATTGCCTCCCATTCTTCTATTTAACCTTTATAGATTTAATGTTTCCTTATGATTTTAATAATAATCTTTGCCTGAGCTGCAGTTGCTGTTGAGCAATTTCAGTTATTTTTTTATTGTTTACTTTCATTGGGATCATGCAGTTCCTAGGGAGTGGAAAATATTCAAATTTAATCAAAGGAAGGGAAAGATAAGTTCAGTTCCTTGGACCAAGATCCCCATGCCAGTACCAAGAAATCTCCTAATAGGAAATTTCACTGAATATACAGAAATTTTCTTTGGAGTGGTTCTTATTGTGGCTTTCATAGTGATCTAGTGAACCTTTTTTTCTTGTCCCTTTACCTTTTATCATCTTACTCCAAGTAGTCTGATTTTATTGGACTTGTACCGAGTCTTACATCCCTTTCTCTCTTTGCTCTTTCCCTACTGTCCTTATTGAGTCTGTGTCCCACTGAGGTAGGATGACCTGAAAAAAAAGAACACTTTCATCATCATTCACTCTATCAGTGTTGTGCCAGAGGTGTGCTGATGCTACAGTTCAGATGCTCCTCCAAAGTGCAATTATGCACACCCTTCAGAGTGCAGGCACTTTACTTCTTACCTCCAGGACTCTAGTCTGGCTTACTGTTTTCTCTGATTCACTTCACAAAGGCTACCTTACTCACACTTAAACAGTTCATCAAGTCCCAAAAACCATTTGCCTCCACTACTATATCTAACATGCTTACATATGCCTGCTGGATGCCCAAGCCCCTTGCACACAAAATGTCTTTCACTCCACTCCAGCCTTTCCTAGGGTGACCCCTACCCTCCCTCCACCATTCAGGTCTTCCTATGTTCAAACCACCTCAACAGCCTCTTCTCAGCCCTCTGGATAATACTTTTATTAACCCCACATCACGTAATCTCCAAACTCAGACATGACATCTCTATAGCCTCCAGCTGCCTCCTCGCTGCAACATTCACAACCCATGTTTCACACCCATACAAGAGTGTTGGTACCACTATACTCTCATATGTTTCCCTCTTTGCCTCTATGGATAACATTCTTTGTCTGTACAGATGCCTCAGTGCACTACCCACCTTTTTTTCCTTCATCAGTTCTATGGTTCACCTTGTCTTTCATATACCCATCTGCGAACAAGTTCACTCCTAAATATCTGAGCACTTTCACTTCCTCCATACTCCTTCCTTCCAATGTGATATCCAATCTTTCATTATCTAAATTTTTTGTTACTCTCATCACCTTGCTCTTTCCTGTGGTCACTTTTAATTTCTTTTAACATCCTCTCCCAAATCTCCCAAAAGCACTGTCATCAACAAATAGCAACTGTGACATCACCCATTTTTGTATTAGATTCTGCATATTATAATCCCATACCTCTTCCCAACACCTGCAGTGCTGTATGACCCTTGTGGGTGTAGTGCTTAGCTATGATAATATTAATAATCTTCCCAATTCCCTAGTATTCACTTCTGTTACAACCTCCTCTACAGATATGTTGAACAACCATGGTGACATGGAAAATAATCTCCCTCTTATATACTCTAACCTGAGCCTCACTATGCTTGTAAAAACTCTTTAACTGCTTTTGGTAACCTACCACTTATTCCATACACTTGCAGTATCTGCCACACTGCTGTCCTATCCATCCTATCATATTTTATTATTTTATTAACACATTGGCCATTTCCCACCAAGGCAGGGTGGCCCGAAAAAGAAAAATTTTCGTCATTCACTCCAGTCTTGACGGAGGTGCACTTACATACAGTCATAACAATGCAGCATTAACACCCTTCCTTCAAAGTGCAGGCACTGTACTTTTCATCTCCAGGACTTGAGTCTGACCTGCTGGTTTCCTGAATCCCTTCATAAATGTTACCCTGCTCACACTCCAACAGCACACAAAGTCCTATATAACAATAGCTCCTATCTAACGTGCTCATGCATGCTTGCTGGAAGTCCAAGCCCCTCGTATACAAAACCTCCTTTACCCCCACCCTCCAGCCTTCCCTAGGCCGCTGAGGAGTTGGCCTAGGAAAGGTTGGAGGGAGTTCAATTTAGGAGAGGTATAATTACACATCCTGTAATTGTTTTACTTGATGGTAGGATTGCTGGTGTCTTTTTTTCTGTTTCATAAACGTGTGGGATAACGGATATATCTTATTGCTTCTACTTACACTTTGGTCACACTACACTTGCATGTCCACACACATTTATACATCCACCTGGATTTTCTTCTGTTTTCTTAATAGTTTTTGTTCTTTATTTTCTCTTATATCCATGAGGAAGTGGAAAAAAATTCTTTCTCCATAAACCATACATGTTGTAAGAGGCAACTAAATTTCCAGGAGCAAGGGGCTAGTAACCCCTACTGTATAAATGACTAAATGAGAAACTTTCGTTTTTGTTTTTTGGTGAGACCCTGCATTAGTGGTATATGGCCATATTGATGAAAAAAAAAATATGCATGGCATTTTGTGATGTACAGTAATCTTTGTATTCATTACTGTTATACGAGATTAACAATATTTTACAATAAATAATATGATCTCAGTTGTATGTATGCAATCAAAGTTTGGCATATCTTATAATTTTTTATTAAAAACTTGAATATTATAACTCTGATACTGTATATTAATTAGCACTTTTTCATGAATATAATGTATTGTATATGTGAAAACATGTATGTACAGTACAATACATATACATATACAATACAGTATGTGTGAAAACATATACTGTGACTTCTTACATAAAAGATTAACCACTCGAGGGAGGTACCTTGATGCCAGTGAGGGAATCTTGATCCATGGTATTTAACTTCCCCTTCCCTTAGGTTGAGCCTGAATTCATCCCATTACTCTAGACACTCTGACCCATTGTGGGTTTAGGGCTTCTCCCTCCATGAATGTAATAATAATAATAATAATAATAATAATAATAATAATAATAATGAAACCAAGCAGAAGATAGTCACATGCAATGTAAGAGATAACACAGAACTTGTTTTTACTTAAAGGTGACAGTCTGAAATGCTGCCTTGCAAGTACTGTACTAGCAAAAATGACATAAAAATTAAGTGGCTAAACTTTAAATATTATTCATCCAAGGATTATTGCTAAATTGAGATAAAGAAAATTCTATTGCATTTCAGAGATTCACTTAATATGTGATGTCTGCCAGCTTCTAGCTTGACAGCTACTGAATGAATGATGGTCAATGAGCTGCTTTCTTTGGGTTGCCCTAACCTGGTGAGAAACAGCCCATAAGGTAATAACTCAATAATGATCAACAGGTAGTAGCATATACAATACCTTAACACCAAAACATGGATATGCTTTGGAAAATAAGTCTCATTTCCATCAGTATGAAACTACACAGCCATAATGTTGATATTTTATTTCTTATGAGAAATGGGAAAATTTCTTCTGGTGTGGGTTTTAGTCATTGTCTACTCCACAGAACGCTGTATAGCCCTTGTGGCTTAGCACTTCTTTTTGATTATAATAATAATAATAATACTCCACAGAACATTCAGCCACTAACCAAGGCCTTCTGCCTTGGTTAGATAGGTTTTTCACCTTGTTTAAAAATCAAAGCATTCTGATAACTAAAGTGGAACTCAGGATTTTGTATGCACCGAGTGTTGTACATTTCGGATTTAGACCACTTTTTTGGGCAAAATTTTGGTCTGGATTTTGTACCTCGTCCTGGAAATTGTCTGTATCAGATACATCCCCCTGGGCCACTCATACATTCATAACTTGCTCTTGGGCACATTAAATGTCTTATTTTACGTTAATATAGACATTTTCATTAATCCATCTATGATATTTTCTTCAAAATTATATAAGAAACACGTTACATAGCATATAAATATAGTTTTGTTACTCGTTCACTCAGAGTGTCCCTCTAGTCTTAACGCCCTAGTAATACTAATAGTACGTAATAATAATCACTCTTGGGCATTATTAAATGTCTTTTTTATGTTAATATAGACATTTTCATTAATCCATCTATGATATTTTCTTCAAAATTATATTAGGAATATATTACATAGCATATAAACATGCAATGTTTATATGCTATGTGTATACACTCTTGGGTACATTAAATGTCTTATTTTAGGTTAATATAGACATTTCATTAATCCATCTATGATATTTTCCTCAGAATTATGTAAGAAATGCATTACATAGCATATAAACATGCAATGATTATATGCTATCGAGGGGCGAGTTGAGGGAGGGAAAACATTGTTTTCTCTGGTCCAGCATTAGAGAAAACTGTATGAATCTGTGTCTGGCCCAGTCACTGCCCTTAATACACTTTACATAATGCTTTTGTTTACAATTCTTGGCATGAATTATTCATTACTTCTCCCTTTGTTTATGATGGCATTTAAGTGTAGTTGTTGGAAATGATTAAACTCATTGAACATGGTATGTGAGTGGTAATAATATGGCTGTGGGCCACAGTGTATGTAACCAGTATGTATAGCCCAGGCGGATGTAGTCTGCCTGGGATTACAAATAAATACTACTCGCCTCTTGCCCTACATTAAGACTACAAATATTTTAAGGTAGGTAATGAATGTACTGTATATGTATTTTACTGTTTATTGTGTTTTAATCCCTAGTTCTATTATTAACTTAATATAAGTTAGTGTAAACTTGACAACCCTACGCCTGTTGTGGAATCTATTGTGGCTTTGGGGAAGTCCATGGGGTTGGATGTGAGTGGCCAGGATGTGGAAGAGTTGGTGGACAACCACAGGTAAGAGCTGCAACATTAGTTATTCTCTATAAAATTTATGTTTTGTTAATATTTTTTGGTATCTGAAACGGAGTAATTGGATTTACATTATATTTCTTTTGGGAAATATTACTTTGGTTTTCATACATTTCGGATATAAACCGACCTTCTGGAGTGGATTAAGTACGAAATCCAGAGTTCCACTGTACCATACAAATGTACTGAGACTATCCAGGTGATTTTATCTGACCCAAAAATGTATACTATCACTTTTGAATTAAACTTGTGTTTATTTCATATATGATAGTATTACTTGTGAAATACAGTAATACAGGATTTAAAATTGTTATAGTGGGATAAATTTACTTCTGATCATCAAGGGTGACAAAGAATTCCCAGTAGATTTATATTGTGTCAAATAATACACTGTAAAAGGGAGTGCTTAGAACATAGCGTAGGTCTATTGATACAAGGAACTTAAGTTACCCTTTCTTGGATTAAACATATTTATCCCCACCCTTCCCATTCTCTAGGCACTGTTTAACCCTTCTAGCTTTAGGGTATACTGTCTGGTATAACCCTGTGGATATGGCATTCCCAGTGAATGCAATAATATAATATGCAGTACGTATAACATTGTGGGTTTAACATTAACCATGTACACATATAATAATACATATAGTATGCTCTATGTACATTATAATCTTCTGGGTTTATTGTTCCTTATGAGTTTAATAATAACAATGTAGTATTATCTAGAAGCTAATAACTTGCATTGGTTACATAAAGCCACTAACAATTCTGTTATAATAGTAACAAGATCACCAACACTGAAATATAAGCAATATCTCTTATTTAGAATTTTCAAAATTCAGTAAAATAAATGTTTGAGTTCAGAATGGTCTACTCAGTTTTGAAGTTTCTAAATGCAGTATACTGTGACAATTCCAAATTTTTAATTTGGAAAATCTCTACCTAGAAAGTTTCTGAATAAGAGAGAATGTTTTTCAAAATTTAAGTTAAGAATTGCATGTTCTTGGCAAATTCTAAGTAAAATAGATTTCCAGATATCAATCAGAATATGAATTAGTTCGAGTATAAGAGTAATTGTTGTATCACATTTATACAGTGCAATAATGGCTTTAGCAAGGATAGTAGGCAGTGAAGAGATTGCAGACATTGACCAGGATGAAAGTGATGATAGATCCCACAGCTGACCCTGCCTGCGTCACTGCCCCACACCAGAAGAGAGCTCGGGCACCTTCCTCACGCATCTGGTTGGCTATTTCAACTCTTACATATGTCATCAAGCCCGTGAACATCACCCAAGCGAGCACCTGTGTTATAAGGGATAAGGTTTTCTTCAATACATGTGCCAGGACTAATTACTGTTGCAATTTTTTTTTTTTTGCAAGAATGCTGAGATTGAAAGAAAACAATTTAAGTTAAATGTAGGAAGTTTTATATTACAGTACTTCAAGGAATATAAATAGAGGCATGGAAGATCTTGGACAAGTGTGTCTTCCAGATGATTTAAAATGTCTATTGCAGTAAGATAGGACAATAAAATTTAATGCGAGTTAAAGCTCACAGGGTCAACATAAATAACATTTGGCAGAGCATTTACTACAATAAAAATCCTTTAAAGAAGGTGCTGTGATGCTGGTGAGGGGCTCTTGATCCAGAGAATTAGATCTACCTGCCTATTTTCTTGGATTGAATCTGATTGCCTTCCATTCCTCAAGGTGCTGTATGACCCTAATGAGTTCAGCAGTCTTCCCCGTGAAATACATAAAGTAAAACCATAGTACAATGGAAAGTGATTAAGCTTACATAGAAGCATAGTGTACTGGTAGCAAATATAGCTTTTCTAACATTGGCAATGTTTATGTACTACTCTAATAAAAATCTTTCATATGATGTTACTGTTTTCAAGGTACTGATTTTCTTTGCTATACTTATCACATTTAACTTGAGATAGCAAGACTTTTAGACATACCAAATGCTATCTATATATTACTTACCACGAGAACCTCTCCTGCCTGGGTACCCATTAGCGGTGGGCTGGGACTGAGGGCTGCAGTAGCTAGGATGTAGGCTGCCACCAGTGAGCCAAGCATACCCAGCAGAAACAGCAGCCATCTTCTTGCTCTTGGCAGCACCAGGGTCACCAATGCTGCCAATGGGTTTGCCAGAGATGAGAGTGTAACTGCTAAGTGATAGGCCACATTGCTGTATGCCCCACAAGAGTAGGACTGAATGGAGGGCAGAACACCATTGGTGAGACTGCAGGCCCAGGCCTGGCCCACTAGCATGAAGCAATATGTCTGTGAACTCATGGCCGAGTCTTGCTTAGTGGTACTCATCAGCCGGGTGTTGGAGTGTGAAGCTTCAAGTGCTGCTACACTGTCAGTAGGCGAGGGCGAGATAACTCGTTCACTTTTGATATTGGGTAAGTGCTCCAATAAGATGAAGGCGAGGACACTTGCAATCATCATTGACATGAGGATGTAAAAAAAAGATGTGATACTAAATCTTGGGTTGAGAGGCAAAGGCTCTAAGTCTGTGTAAGTGGTGTTGCCTTCTTCAGTATTGTTCCAGACAGTGACATTCACACACTGGGCATTACCTCCAACACCCTGTGCAAGGGCCACCAGGGCTGGCAGCAGCCCAGACAGTCCCTCCCCTACTAGGTATGAGGGCAGGTAGATCTCTCGCCAAAAAGCCATGTAGGGCATAAAAAGTACTGATGAGGTACAGTCCACAAGTGCCAGCAGGAAGACAAGGGAAAGCAGTGCTGTGGAATGCTCTGCCCCAGCCAACCATGATGTTTTTTGCCATAGCATTGATAACAGAAGGGAGGCAATGCAACCCACAGCCAGTACTCCATACACTACTGGTGCTGGATGTTGTGCTGGTTGCAATGCTTTGAACACTGAGTATGCTATGGGACCAATATTGGCAATCTGAAATATGGAAGAAAGGCTCTCAAGTTAGTGGTGCAAGACAGCAATATAGGCACAAACCTATATTGGTGTATACAGAAAAAATATAATGTTATGTAAAGAATAAAAAGTCACAGTATCATGACTGAATACACAAATAACCTGCACATAAGAGACAAACTTATGATGACATTTCAGTCTGACTTGGACCATTAACTAGCCACACTAGTTAATGGTCCAAGTCAGACTGTCATGATTTTCGGTTTCTATTTGCGGGTTATTTGTGTATTACATTGGGTGTAATTAGTATGGAAAGTGTTATACTGGACAGTATATACAATATAAGGAACCAGGAAGTGCTTCTTTTAAAATATGAAAACCTAATGAGAGAATTTGCACCTGAGGACAGGGTTGTGGGGGTATTGACCCCGGAACTCCCAGGTAGACCCTAGGTCGTATGGGAGCTAAATGAAAGACACTTACCTGAATGATGACAGAAAGGTAAGATGGAAGGTTCCATCCTTCAGGAAGGTCAGTAACCAAGAGAGGTAGCTCCACCCATAGGCCATTAACAGCCACCCAAGCACCCACACCAAACACTGCAGCTAGGACATCCACCAGGGGCTTTCGACCCAGCATGATGGAGGTCACACTCCTCCAGGAAATATTCCGTATGATTCTGCTATGGCTCCTGTCAATATTGCAGTTGGCCCTGTTGCTCAGTAAGGGTACCTGGTCCTCCTGTAACATTATATAAACACAATAACAGATATAGTGTGGAAATAAGTCACTTTGACTTTTTTGGGTGGTCTTAGGTTCTCTACACATATCCTGCTATGTATGTTACTGTATTTGTGCATACCTGAATAAACTTACTTACTTACCACAATTTTATGCAACTATAAATGCAGTTTGATGATAATTTGTATAATTGCAAATATATTTTAACGTACTGCAAAATGTTAAGGAATGATCCCCTCAAGGGAAGTTCCTTAATGCTGGTGAGGGGCTCTTGATCTAGGGAACTGGATGTGTCCACCATTTTCCTGAATACAGCCTGAATGTCTTCCACATCTCCCCCACAGGCACTGTATAATCCCTACAGATTTAGCAATCCTCATAATAATAATAATTAACAAATGATCTATACAAGAGTTAAAATTGGTCATGAAAAAAATAAATTGTTCATAGAGCAAGATCCATGTGTCACTTCGGGATGTATGTAGACAGAACTAAGTGGATTAAATGTGATTTTTACTTGTGTGTTAAATGTAAACTTTATAATGTTTAGGATTTGAACTAAGATTTTTAGTGATAAACACTTTGATGCAAGTGAAGGGCTCTTGATCTAAAAAAATGGAGCAACAGTATTCTCCTTTTCCGTGGGTCGAATCTAATTACTTCCCATTTTCCTGGTGCTCTGAATAATCCCTACTGGTTTAACACTCCGTTATGAATGGGGTTTGTTTAATTATCTTTATTATGCATCCCCTACCCATGGAGTGGGCAGCAATCAAAATATTACAGAGGCACATAATGGGTCCAGGAGCTGGGCTGCCAAATTTTTGATAACTAAACAAGTTATAGTGGTAATGAACTATTTATCTGCTTATATCTGGAATGTAATAATAACATTAATGATTGGAATGTTGAGCAGTTTGCGAATATCGCAGTGTTTCTTTAACCCAACCCCAAAAACTATACCTGGAATATACCTGGAGAGGGTTTCAGGGGTCAATGCCCCTGCAGCCCAGTCTGTGACCAGGCCTCATGGTGGATCAGGGCATGATCAACCAGGCTGTTACTATTGGCTGCACATAAGCTCGGTTGATCAGGTACTGACATTAGGGGCCTGTCCAGAGTCTTCTTGAAGACAACCAGGGGTCTATTGGTAATCCCCCTTATGTATGCTGGGAGGCAGTTTGGGACCCCTCACACTTGCTGTATTGTCTTTTATTGTGCTAGTGGCTTCCCTGCTTTTCACTGGGGGGATGTTGCATCACCTGCCTAGTCTTTTGCTTTCGTAGGGAGTGATTTTTGTGTGCAAATTTGGTACTCGTCTCGTTTAGATTTTCCTAGTGTATATAATCATGCATCTCTCCCGCCTGCGTTCCAGGGAATACAAGTCAAGGAACTTCAAGCATTCCCAGTAACTGAGGTGTTTTATTGCAGTTATGCGTGCCATAAAAGTTAAGATAAGATTTTGTTCGGATTTTTAACCCTGGAGGGTTAGCCACCCAGGATAACCCAAGAAAGTCAGTGCGTCATCGAGGACTATCTAACTTATTTCCATTGGGGTCCTTAATCTTGTCCCCCAGGATGCGACCCACACCAGTCGACTAACACCCAGGTACCTATTTGCTGCTAGGTGAACAGGACAACAGGTGTAAGAAAACGTGTCGAAATGTTTCTACCTGCCGGGAATCGAACCCGGGCCCTCCGTGTGTGAAGCGGGAGCTTTAGCCACCAGGCCACTGTACATTTTTCAGGTCAGCAAGTTCACCTGCCTTGAAAGGCACTGTTAGCGTGCAGAAATATTCCAGCCTAGATAGAACAAGTGATCTGATGAGTGTCATCATAGGCTTGGCAACCTTAGTTCTGAAGGTTCTCATTATCCATCCTGTCATTTTTCTAGTAGATGTGGTAGATACAGTTTTATAGTCTGAAAGTGAGATCCTCTGATATTATCACTCCCAGGTCCCTTAAATTAGTTTTTCACTCTGTTGTGTTGTTGGAATTATTTTTATACTCCAATATAGTGTTAATTTTCTCAAGTTTTCCATATCAGAGTAATTGAAATTTCGTTTCATTGAACTTCATATTGTTTTCTGTGGCCCATTTCAAGATTTGTTTGATGTCCGCCTGGAGTCTTGCAGTGTCTTCAGTGGAGGACACTCATGCAAATTCGGGTGTCATCTGCAAAGGAATACATGGTGCTGTTGCGTACAACTCTGTGTCAGATATGAAGATGAGGAACAGGATGTGGGCGAGTACTGTGCCTTGTTGAACAAAGCTTTTCACAGGAGCCACCTCAAACATTACTCTGTTTACTACAACACGTTGTGTTCTATTTGTTAGGAAATTATAGATCTATCTGCCAGCTTTTTCTGTTATTCCTTTATCACGCATTTTGTGCACTATTACACAATGGTCACACTTGTCGAAGGCTTTCACAAAATCTGTGTATACTACATATACATTTTGTTTGAATTCTAGAGCATCCAGGGCCTTGTCATAGTGGTCCAGTAGTTAAGACAGACAGGAGTGACCTGCTCTAAACCCATAGTGCCCTGGGTTGTGTAAATAATGGTAACTAGATGAGTGGCGATCTTGCTTCTTAGAACCCTTTCCAAGATTTTTATGATATGGGATACTAGCGCTATTGGTCTGTAGTTCTTAGCTATTGCTTTACTGCCCCCTGTGTGGAGTGGGGTTATGCCTGTTGTTTTTAGCAGCTGTGGGATGACCCCTGTGTCCATGCTTCCTCTCCACAGAATGCTAAAAGCACGTGATAGGAGCTCCTTGCAGTTCTTGATGAACATGGAGTTCCACGAGTCTGGGCTGAGGCAGAGTGCATGGGCATGTCATTTATTGCCTTTTCGAAGTCATGTGGTGTTAGAATAATATCAGATAAGTTTGAATCCACCAAATCCTGAGTTTTCAGTCATAAAAAAAATAATTGAAGTCTTTGACTCTTAATCTGGTTAGCGGCTCGCTAAAAACTGAGTCATACTGAGATTTGGGTAACTCACTCATTTCCTTGCTGTCATCTGTATAAGACCCATTTCGTCTAAGTAGGGGCCCAATACTGGACGTTGTTCCCGACTTAGATTTAGCATAAGGAAAGAAATATTTTGAGTTTCTTTCAATTTCATTGATGGCTTTTAGTTCTTCCCATGTTTCTTGTCTCCTGTAAGATTCCTTTAGCTTAAGTTCGATATTTGTTATTTCTCTGACCAGTGTCGCTGTATAGCCCTTGTGGCTTAGCGCTTCTTTTTGATTATAATAATAAATCTGACCAGTGTCTCCGCATTACAGATGTATTGACCTCTTTTAGCCACTCTTATTCTTCACCTTCACCTGTATAGGGAGCGCCTCTCTAGTTTACATCTTCTCTACATCGATTGCCACAGAGTTCATTTTTTCTAGACAAATTTGGATCCATGTTGCTTAGGATATCTTCCCAGCTTATTTCATTTAGGACATGGTGGACTTTGTCCCACCGTATGTTTCTGTTATTAAAGTTGAATTGAATTTGGTGAAGGCTTCCTTGTGGCTGATCACATTTTGTTGGTCTGGGGCCCTGCACGTACATGTCTGTACCTCCATTATGTTGTGATCTGAGTATGTTGTTTTTGATATGGTAATAGTTCATATCAGATCATTATTAGTGAAGATAAGTCCAGTGTATTCTCCAGTCTTGTTGGCTCTATTATTTGTTGGTTTAAGGTGAATTTAGTGCAGGGATTTAATAGTTCATGTGTGTACAAATTTTCATCTGAGCTGCCTCTTGAGGTTATCTCTGCTACATTATTTGCTACATTCCTCCACTTTAGGTGCCTTAGGTTGAAATCCCCCAGGAGCAAGATGTTTGGGGCAAGAGCTGGAAGATTTTCCAGACAGTGGTCAGTTTTCAAAAGTGTTCCGGAACTGTTGGGGAAGTTGCATCCAGAGGCTTGAACCAGTCGCTAGCAGTAAAAGTTTTACATAATCCGGCACGTGCCTAACGCTACTGTGGCAGCTTACTGGCTCGGCACAGAGCAGTTTGGTGTTATATGAAGGAAGGTAGAATACCCTTCTATGAGTTATCATGTTTTGTACCTGGAGTCTACCTAGAGGGCTTTCCGGGGATCAATGCCCCCGCGGCCCGGTCCACGACCAGGCCTCCCAGTAGATCAGGGCCTGATCAACGAGGCTGTTACTGATGGCCGCATGCAATCCAATGTACGAACCACAGCTCGGCTGATCCGGCACCGTCTTTAGGTATCTGTCCAGCTCCCTCTTGAAGACAACCAGGGGTCTTCCCGTAATGCCCCTTATTGCCGGTGGGAGGCTGTTGAACAGTCTTGGCCCTGGATACTTACTGTGTTTTCTCTTAGTGTACCAGTGACGCCCCTACTTTTCACTGGGGGTATGTTGCATCGCCTGCCAAGTCTTTTGCTTTCGTATAGAGTGATTGCTGTGTGCATATTAGGGGCCAGTCCCTCCAGAATCTTCCAGGTGTAGATTATGATATCTCTCTCTCGCCTGTGCTCTAGTGAGTACAAGTCAAGTGCTTCCAGGCGCTCCCAGTAGTTAAGGTGTTTGATGGAACCTGATCAACCAGGCTGTAGCCAGCAGCAACAGCCTGGTTGATCAGGCTCTGATCCACCAGGAGGCCTGGTCACAGACCGGGCCGCGGGGGCGTTGACCCCCGGAACTCTCTCCAGGTAAACTCCAGGTAATACGTGCAGTAAAGGTTCTCTGTACATTCTCTAGTTCTGCAATTTCACCTGCCTTGAATGGGGATGTTAATGTGCAGCAGTATTCCAGCCTAGAAAGAATACGTGACTTAAAAAGGATCATCATTAGCTTAGCATCTCTTGTCTTGAATGTTCTCATTATCCATCCTATCAGTTTCCTCGCAGATGTGATAGTGGCATTGTTGTGGTCCTTGAAGGTGAGGTCTTCGGACATTACCACACTCAGGTCCTTCACATTACTTTTCCGCTCTATTGTGTGATTGGAGTTTGTAGTATACTCAGTCCTAGTTATTATTTCCTACAGTTTTCCATAAGG